TTTCTAGCTCCATTGATTCCATTTCACAATTTGTTTCTCTTAGTGACTTAACTAAATTGTTAGATATTTGCACTATGTGCATACAGATATCAAGTTAGAAAAGCTCAAAAGGCCATCTACACTAATAAAAGAGAAACATGCAAATTGGTGTCACTCCACTATGCCCACCAGCCAATCAGGATGAGTATGCAAATTAACCCAACAAAGATGGCAATTAGTTTGCATATGCAGGCACAGAGTGAAGACTGAAGGCTCCAGCCCGAGCGAAGACTGAAGACGAGGAGCGAAGACTGAAGGCTCAGGCCTGAGCGAAGACTGAAGACTAAAGAGGCTTGCCTTCTCTGCTGCGGCCAGAGCGGAGAAGCCTCCAGGCTTGGCTTCTCCACTGCGGCCGGAGCGAAGGCCTGGGTCCCGGGTGCCGGAGGAAAACCGGTGCCGCCAGCTAGGGGAAGGAAGGCCTATTGCATGAATCTCTTTGTGCAACGGGCCTCTAGTTGGTTATAAAGTCACTGGCACTTGGTTTGGGCATGTTGGGAAGTGAGGAGTGAAGGTGCAACTCAGAAAGAGGAAAGGCCAGGAAAGCAGTAGGCTGGGAGCACAAGGAGAATCTGCATTTTCAAGAAATTATGCCTAGGGCCTCTCTTGTGATTATTTCCTGATTTATGATCATATTCCAATAAGAAAGTGTTTGAGTCTTATATTTATGGATGTGGCTTTTATATACCTGACTTGATCCACAATTTAAGAGTTATAGGTCTGGAGACCAAATGGGAAGCTAGAAAGAAAACATAGAGTCTTTAGCGGAAAGGCTGCCCTGCCGTGTAAAGAGGAGGGTAAGAAGAGAGAATGGTAAGGACAGTGGGGAGGTTGGAGGTGAGAGCTTCCTGGGGGTCTGGCCATGTCCCGTGGAGGGAGAGTCAGGTGCCCAAGCACAATGTGGCAGAAAGAGCCTTCAGGAGATGACAGGGGAATCAGGACAAAACTCCAGAGCAAAATACCTAGTAGTAGATACTTTTAAAGGGGAAATAATAGAGAATTAGGGAATTAGGAAATAGAGAATAGGAATTTCTCTAATAATAGAGAAAAGGATGGTGATAACGTGCTTTTTAAAAAATCAGCCAATGGAAGGATCTCTCCCCCATCCCCACCCCCCTATTGAAGTGTGACACCCAGACTCAAATCTGCCTGTAACAAAAACACTAAGATATAAAATTATCATTTTTAAACTTTCTGAGATCAGCCTGATTTCAGACACTCAGTCCCACTGTTGGACACTATGCTGTTTGAGGTTAGGAAGTCACTCTCTCTGCCTTCATACAAATGTCCTCGGCCATATGGTGTGTAAAGCCTTTTACATGCAAACTAGTGCCCCGGTGCATGGATTCGGAAATTAATTAGAAGGTGGCTGGCGGGACGGGACTGGGCGAGATGGGCCGGACACACCCTGGAGCCAACCTCCCACGGTCCCTCCCGGGCTGGCCGCCCCAGGTGCAGTGCCGTGGCTCGAAGGGCGTCTGTGGAGTGAGCAGGGTCCCTCCGGCAGGTGGGGTCCCTTGGCCTGGCCTGCGGAGTTTGGGCTGAAACTGGCTCTCCAACATCCCCCGAGGGGTCCTGGATTGGGAGAGGGCAGTTCTCGGATGACGCACCCCGGAATTGGGCTCCCTCCTCTCTGGTTTGGGGTCCCGAGAACTGTCGCTGCCAAGTCACTGCAGCTTGGCAGCTCCTGCATTGAGCATCTGCCCCCTAGTGGTCAGTGCATGTCATAGCTACCGGTCCGATGGTCAGATGGTCGCTTAGCCTTTTATATATATAGAATACACAGGTAGGAACTCTTCTCCCTGACCCTTCTTGTGACCTTGCTTGTGGTCCTGAGTTTCCTTTCTTGTTGAATAACTGCATCACTCATTTTATCACTTGAGCCAGAAACCTGAGAAAATTCTGTTATCTATTTCTAGACTTAACAGTTTAAAAGAATAAATATTTACTATTTCACAGTTATGAGGAATCCAGGGGCAGCCTAGCTGGGTGGTTGTGGCCCAGTATCTCTTACAAGGTTGCATTCTGCTGGGGAGCAAGCGTCTCAAGGCTTGACTAGAGCTGGATGGTCCTCTTCCAAACTCACAGGCCTGGCTGTTGTCAGCCTGCACATCCTTGCTGACTGTGGGCCGAAGGTCTCCGTTTCTACCACATGGGCCCTCCCTAGGCTCCCAGTGTGTCCTCCTGCCATGGCAGCTGGATTTCCCCCAGAGTCAGTGATGAAGAGAAAGAAAGACAGAGGGAACAGAACCCCTAAAATGGAAGGCACAGATTTTCAAATAATCTAATCTCAGAAGTGATACAGACTAATCCTCATACAGCATGCGAAGGGACTATACAAGGATGTGAATATAAGGAGGTAGGGGCCATTGGGGACCAACTTGGAAGCTGGCTCCCTCAGAGAGGCCTTTCTCTCCTTTTCCCTCTCCTTCAGCAAATCACTAAGTCCTTCTGATTCTTCCTCTGCGGTGTTTCTCAGATATGACCTCATCTAAAGCTGATTGCTTATTCTGGGAAGAGGTGTGGAAGCTGATGGGGAAGTCTTGGGGATCGCATGCCTAAGGTCACAGGTGAAATGCATATTAATATGCTAGCATGGCCTCTAACCCAACCTTATAGGGAAAGGAGAAGAAACCTCTTGGCAAGCTAATATTTTTGGGGAGGATTTGTTCCCTGTACAGAGAAGGGGAGACCTGTAACATCAGAGTCATCCTAGGGAAATAAGGTGCTGAGCACAACAGCAAGAGAGTGTAGATACTTTTAGACTTAGCCTGAGCACCCTAGGACTTAAGACCATAATAAGGACAACTCCCCCTTTGCATGAGGCAGAGAAAGCCTTAGGAGAGCGGTAAGCAAGGGCCTACCATTTCCCTGTGAGCATCATTAATAAGTTTAACTCCACAAGTCTACTTAGATTGGAAGTGGCTTCTGATAGCTCTCGAACTGAGAAAAACTGTGAGATCCATTCTGCTTCAGTGAGAAAGCAAGCCTTGATCTCAAGGTCTGCCATTGCCTGAGGAAGCAAGAGTTATGCCTACCATTTGGCTACTGGGAATACACCTTGTTTCCACTGATAACACTCACTTTTCCTTTTTGGGACCTTCTCTAAGATGGGCTTTTGGGGGAAAAACAAAACACTTAATGGGTAGAATTATTAGAAATAGGCATGCTTGACCCAACCTAGCTGAGTTATTTGAGCTGCTATAGCATATCTCTCACTACATACCCACCACCAGCAGCCCTGCCTGGAATGAGATAGCTCTAGCAGGCTTCCTCCTTAAACAGCCTGAGGTGGGACAGCTTGTTGAAACTGATGGGAGATTCTGGGTCTTCCATGAAATTTTGTTCTTGGATCGATAAACTTGGAATACAGAACCATAGATTTACGGACCAGAACAGACAATAGACGTCACCAACCTGTGTCCCATCCCCATTTCACATGTGACTCAGAGAGCTAAGAGACTGACCCATAGGCGCTTAATAAGGTGAAAACCCAGGAAGGACTAAAGTCTTCTGAATTCTCATCTTTCCCTGGTCCTTGTCAAGCTTGTGAGTTATCACGGACACTTATAGGAAGGGAGACCGTACCTGCCTATCTGCCCTTCCGTCCATTTTCTGCTCTTATTGTGATCTTTTCTGAATGACCAGGCACCTCACTACCTAGGCTCCCTCATCTTCTATTTCCTGGTAGGTCTGACCAATTCGGGAGGGTTGCGGGTGGCCCTGGTAGAAAAATTTGAGAGCAGGAATTGGTGAGAAACATTTCTTCTCCCCTCCCTGTTTCCTTTGGCATCTCCAACAGTGGCCAAGCCTCCTCTGGTCCCAGCACCCATTGGACGGTCTCCACTGTGACTCTGACTTCTGCCAGATGACCCGGCAACATCTAGAAACATCAGCTTCGCCAACCCAAGGAGTCACAGCTACTTACTGCTCTGCTTACTCTCTGGGTTGCCTCACTGTCCCCGTTTGGCTCCTCCACTCTTCTAGCATTAGTATAACCAATTCCCTGTATTAAATGATCTCTGTTTGTCAAGACCTAGGCTGTTTTCTCTTTTCTTGGCTGCACCCTGACTGATAGAGTGGGACCATCATTCTGTGTGCTCTTGGCACATTTTAGGGACACAATACATGTTCATCATAGCGAAGCAAAAAAGTGGATACATTTTTCTGAGACACTTTCCCGATGGTAAGTTTTGTGCTTTCTAAACAGTGGTGTCAAAATAATCCTTTCCCTTGATCTCATCAGTCTTTTCCATCTCTGTCAGCAGTGACTCAATCATGGAAGAGATTGTTCTTGGTGCCCATGGGTGTGTATATTTTAGTTGTAACAGAATGAGCCCTAATGTCATGCCATTGGTTTCCCAAATTTGCTTTGGTAATGACTACACTTGGCCTTCCTGGTAGTGGTGACCTATAGTCCTGTTTACCCCTGTTCTTGGCCTCCACACAGGGATTCCCACAAGGGCTCCATTTGAGATGGTGGTTTCCAGGATTGGGATATCTGCCCACCAGCACTGGACTTGAGACCACCAGCTTGTTTTTCCAAACATTAATATCTCAGTGATCTCCAAACATATTTTCTGTTCCAGAATATTTTCCAAGTTTTGTAAGAATGTTTCTAAAGCTTTTTTCTTTTAAAGGCATAAGGTTAGCTAGCCTAAGGGGAAGGGCAAGGGTAATACATATTTTAACTTGGAAGACTGGTGTTTAAAACTTTAACCAAAAAATGTTTTTCCCTTAAAAAACAACTTTCTTTACATATTTAAGTAATTCATTTGGGAGGAATTATCACTTAGCCATCCCTTGGCAGTTTCAGTTCAAAATGCTTTGAAACTAGTCAACTACAAAGCCTCAAATGTTTTTTCTTTGAAAGCTCAACTTAACCTTCTCTACCATGGAGATGAGAAAAGTGACAACTTATTTTAAAGATTCTCCCCCTTTGTTTCTTTGTCTTTCTTTTGCAGGCCATGTGTTTATACGATGGGATCTCCCATAAACAACAGGGCCCTTTTTCCATGCCAGGAGCCCCCCGTTGCCATGTCAACATGGCAGGCCACAGTCCGAGCAGCTGCATCTTTTGTTGTTTTAATGAGTGGGGAAAATTCTGCCAAGCCAACACAGCTTCGGGAAGGTACTGTACATGTGTTCTGTGCTTCTTTGTGTATTGCACACATGCTGGACCCAGGAACCCAATACACGCTGTTTTTCGCAACTTTAAAGAGTTCCTTTATTAGTTGGGTTGGAATGAACATGCTAGAAAACATCCTGCCAGAGAAAACAGCAGGGAGGGGAGGCTCTGGGGAGCCTGGGCAGGCGTGCGGGGCTCTTCATGCCAGACTTATCAGTTCCTAGAGTATTTCAGCGGTTGCTCTGCCCTGGTGGTTTGTGGGCCATAAGTGGGTGGTCTTGGTTGAAGACTTTCTGGGCAGGCAAGTGTGTCATGGAAACACCGTTACTTGCAGTTGAGTTGTCTGTGGTTGGGTCCTGGAGCCTGCACAGGGGGTTCATTGCACAGGGAGTTCATTACGCCGAGTGATAGTGCTGCTGTTGGCGAGCCCGCCAGAGCTGTTCGAGTCCAGCTCTGTCCCTCAGAGTTCTGAACCCAAAGTGTAAAAGATGGAAGGCAAGTGCTAACGCAGATCAAGGTTCTGTCTGGGGATTATTTGCTTATTGCAGTAATTAACTCCGCTGAGAGCCTAAGCATTTTGATGCCAGGTGAAATTTTTATAATTGTAACATTTCTTCATTTTAAATAAGGTGTCTCTCAGATACCTTTAGAAACTTTAAGTTTTACAGGAAATTAAAAGTAATAAAATTAAATAATTTTAGAGAAAGTGATTGCTAACATTTTGTTGCATTTCCCTCCAGTATTTAAAATCTACACAGATGGTACATATTGTCATTTCAAAATTGCCGTCATAGCACATAACAGCTTTTTTTCACTTATGGTGTATTTTGAACATTTCCCAGGTCATTAAGTATTTTTTAAAACTATAATTTTAATGTCTGCATAATATTTTATGGTATGAATATATCATATTTTAACATTTTTGTATTATTAGACATTTTTATTGTTTCCAGGTTTTTTCCTGTTATAAATAAAGTTGCATTAAATTCCTGAGGAGACATTTAGTATAAAATTAGAATTATTGAGTCAAAAGTTTTCAGCACGGATAAGGCTGTTGATACATATTTCAAGTTGTTTCCCAGAAAGGCTGTGCCCATTTGCAGTTGTACCAATAGTACATTTTCATACCCATCAGTAGTTATAGGGTCCCCATTTTCCATGAATTTCACCCATTTGCTAGGCAAGAAAAGGTCTGTCTTTAATATAGATTACTTCAATTATCAATGAGGTTTTACATGTCCTTATATTTTTCTTAACTATCTTCATTTCCTGACTTTTTATTTCCTTTGCCCATTTTTACAATGAGGCTTCAGTGAGGTTTTCAAAAGTTTGTTTTGCCTTTTAATTTGATTGGCTCTTTAAAATATAAAAATATTTATCTTATCATATTTATGAAAAGTACTTTTCCCAGTTTTACTATGCCTTTTAATTTTATACTATGTTTCTGATCTATTGGCGATTTTAATTTTTATTTAGTGAAATCTGTCTAATTATTCTTTGAAGGTCTTTCTTTATTTGATCTGAGATTCATCTGTTTTGTTTTAATATTTTTATTTAATTTAAAATTTTCATTAAGTCTTTATCTGTTTGTAGTTTATTCTAGTCAGGATTGTGAAATGAGGACTACAGTGTTTTTTTTCAAATAGGAAATAAGTTGCTGTAAGATAATTTATTGAATCTTTTCTAACTTGTGATGTCTCCTTTATCATAAACTAGATTTAACACATGCTAGAGTCTTCAATGAGAATTTACTTGATTTTCAAAGTAAAAATAAGACAAATAATACATTAAAAAAAGATAGGTAACATTTATATGGTTCATTTACAAATGAACAAAGGACAAAAAATTGCAATAAAATTTCCTTTTTACTCCTAATTCCCAGCTACCCAGAAACCCTTCCCCCAAGGTAACCAAAGTCACCAGTTTCCTTTGTTTAAGATGTTTTTTCCGCTTGTTGCACAGATCAGAGCATGCTGCACATATGTTTGTATTGTACCTCAACCCTTTAGAATAAATTGGTTTTACAGATAATTTCATATCTGAGTATTAAGAGCTTTCTCATTATTTTTTATGACTATAGAATATTTCATAAATGGATCTTTTACAGTTAAGTGAACCAATAGCTCTTGACTTCACTCTGTCAAATAAGGAACTAAATGGGCATTTACTTCTATCATCTTCCCTCATCCATATTCCCCAGTTTTAGTGAATACAGTTGGGCTTTTGGACTCATATTATCTATCTATATATTTTTAAATATGTTTTTCTTGATTTCAGAGAGAGGAAGGGAGAGTGAGAAAGAGATAGAAACATCAATGATGAGAGAATCATTGATCGGCTGCCTCCTACTGGGGATCCAGTCCTCAACCCGGGCATGTGCCCTGACCAGGAATTGAACCATGACCTCCTGGTTCATAGGTTGATGCTCAACCACTGAGCCACACTGGACAGGCTTATTTCTATATTTTGTTTTTGTATTATATCTTCTCTTCTAGGAATTACAATTATTGTTTTTTTACATCTTCATCTAGTTTCAAATCATATTTGTAGTAAGTATTTATACTGTCTTTATCCTTAAGCTTTTAAATTTGAATCATTTCTCAGGCACTTGGGAAATTGTTTCAATATTTGTTTTCTAGAAGGGTGGATGTGTGGTATATTTTATGAGCCATCCCATATTTAGGTTGGCTTTTAGTTCTATTCATTTACGAACAATCCTTGGCTAGGTATAAAATTCTTAGGACTTCTTTTCTCTCTTAAACAACTATAAACATTTTTATTATCATGCCTTACTTAGCATTTCTGAGGAGAAATCTGATATCAATTTTTTAAAAATATTTTATTGATTTTTTTACAGAGAGGAAGGGAGAGGGATAGAGAGTTAGAAACATCGATGAGAGAGAAACATCGATCAGCTGCCTCCTGCACACCCCCTACATGCCCTTGACTGGAATCGAACCTGGGACCCTTCAGTCCACAGGCTGATGCTCTATCCACTGAGCCAAACCGGTCAGGGCCTGATATCAATTTTTAAAAAATTCCTTGAAAGTCTGATTTTCCTGCCTAGAGGCTCATAGAATTATTTTTATTTATGTAATTTACAGCTTTCTAGAAAGAAGCTAGCTGTGGGTATCTTTGGTTTTAATCAACTTTATTAAAGTACTAGAGGCCCAGTGCACAAAATTTCTGCATAGGTAGGGTCCCTAGCCCTGACTGGTGATTAGGGCCGATTTGTGGGGTGACCAGTGGGGTGATCGGAGAGGGAAGGAGGCCCGCTTGCACCCACCTTGGCTTGCCTGGCGCCACCTGCTAGCCAGCCCGGCCCCCTAACACTGCTGCCGGTCGGGGCCTGCGGTCTGGGGGAAGCTCCTGCATTGAGCGTCTGCTCCCTGGTGGTTAGTGCGCGTCATAGCGACCGGTTGTTCCGCTGTTCAGGTTGATTTGCATATTAGGGTTTTATATAGATAGATAATTTGCATGTAATAAAATGTACACAATTTGTCTTGTTTAATGAAGTTTGAAAAATACACCAATTTATTTAATCAGCACTCCTATGAAGATGTAGAACATTTCCTTTACCCGAGGACTCCCCTTATGCCCTTGCCATCTCTCCTTATGTCATTCCTCCAAACCCCACTCCTGTCAACCACTGACCCGATTTCTGTGTTTGTAGATTAGTTTTGCCTCTGCCAAAGATTCACGAAAATAGAGTCATTCCATGTGTACTCTTCTGTGTCTGGCTTCTTTTGCTCAGCATAATGTTTGGAAAAGTCACCCATATTTTTGTGAGTGTTAATAGTTTATTATTTTAAAATTGGTGAATAGAAGTCCATTATATGAATAAAGCACAGTTTGTTTATCCTCTCACCTGTTTATGGACATTTGAATTGTTTTTAGCCATCGTGATAAATAATTCTGTGAACACTGTGTACAAGTCTTTCTGAGGATATAGGTTTTCATTTCTCTTGGGTAAATACCTAAGAGTGGAATTGCTGGATGGTATAAATGCATGTTTAACTTTGTAAATATCTGCCAAATCATTTCCAAAGTGATTGTATCATTTTGTATTCTACCAGCAATATATCAGAACCTCCCCCTCCCCCTTCCGCACCATTGCTGGGCATCCTTGCAAACACTGGTATTGTCAGCCTTCCAACTGGGTGTACAGTGCTAGCTTGTTGTGGTTTTAATTTGCCTTTCTCTGAGGACTAATGATCGTGAGCAACTTTTCATACTTATTGTGCATTCTTATATCTTCCTTTGAAAAGCATCTCTTCAAGTTGTTTGCCCATTTATTTAATGTGAGATTTTTGGTTGTTTTATTAGTAGATTGAAAGAATGCTTTGTATATTCTAGGTATAAGCCTTTTATCAGATATATGTATTGCAAATATATTCTCCCAGTCTGTGTAGCTTGCCCTTTCATTTGTTGTTTACACTCTACACCACTGATTTTCCATAGAAACATTTTGTTCTTTAGTAATTCCATTGTAGATTTAAATTGTTATTTAAGTTTCCTTACAATCCTTATCTTTTTGATCTGTTATCTTTTGAACTCAGTCTCTTATACTGTTTCAGCCTGTTGTCTTCCCATACTTTTTTTTATATATTTTCGTAGAAGTTATATCTTCCTGTATCATAATGGGAATGGCAGTTTCCTAAACTGCTTTTGGTTTCTACAGTAAATTCATTTCTGAGGCTTGTTCTTCTTCTGAGTCCTTAGAATGATGTTTTCTTGTGCCTTTATTTTGCAGTATTTCTTCCCATAGTGCTCATGGCTCTCCTCACAGGACACAGTCTATGAATTTCCCTGCGCTCCGTTCACTTTCCATGAGCCCTGTCTGAAACTCTCTCTGTTCAGCAGGTGAGAGGTTACGGATGTAGGCTGCAGCGTCTTGCTGGAATTGCCTAGTGAAGTTCTGCTGGACTCACACAGGCTCTTTCTCCACCCTCCCTCTGTGGTTCCCGGACGTGCTGAGGTTGATTGAGTACCTGAAACACTGC